CATATATATATATATATATATATATATATATATATATATATATAACTAACTGCAGACAGTACTGTTTCGGCCTTCTGGGCCTCATCAGTGCAGTGCTAATGCTAGGATGGGGGAGAACCGAGACGGTCACCCCAAACGACCCAACCTTTGTGGTATCGTCTAAGCCATGCCAGAGTGCTCAAACTAGAGTAAACCAGCGAGCATGCGCAATTGCAACGGCAATGACTCATCCTAGATAGAGTGCTCAATTTGGACATGAAAGCAAAGCTTTGTATGCCAAAGAGCTATATCTAACTGCAGACAGTACTGTTTCGGCCTTCTGGGCCTCATCAGTGCAGTGCTAATGCTAGGATGGGGGAGAACCGAGACGGTCACCCCAAACGACCCAACCTTTGTGGTATCGTCTAAGCCATGCCAGAGTGCTCAAACTAGAGTAAACCAGCGAGCATGCGCAATTGCAACGGCAATGACTCATCCTAGATAGAGTGCTCAATTTGGACATGAAAGCAAAGCTTTGTATGCCAAAGAGCTATATCTAACTGCAGACAGTACTGTTTCGGCCTTCTGGGCCTCATCAGTGCAGTGCTAATGCTAGGATGGGGGAGAACCGAGACGGTCACCCCAAACGACCCAACCTTTGTGGTATCGTCTAAGCCATGCCAGAGTGCTCAAACTAGAGTAAACCAGCGAGCATGCGCAATTGCAACGGCAATGACTCATCCTAGATAGAGTGCTCAATTTGGACATGAAAGCAAAGCTTTGTATGCCAAAGAGCTATATCTAACTGCAGACAGTACTGTTTCGGCCTTCTGGGCCTCATCAGTGCAGTGCTAATGCTAGGATGGGGGAGAACCGAGACGGTCACCCCAAACGACCCAACCTTTGTGGTATCGTCTAAGCCATGCCAGAGTGCTCAAACTAGAGTAAACCAGCGAGCATGCGCAATTGCAACGGCAATGACTCATCCTAGATAGAGTGCTCAATTTGGACATGAAAGCAAAGCTTTGTATGCCAAAGAGCTATATCTAACTGCAGACAGTACTGTTTCGGCCTTCTGGGCCTCATCAGTGCAGTGCTAATGCTAGGATGGGGGAGAACCGAGACGGTCACCCCAAACGACCCAACCTTTGTGGTATCGTCTAAGCCATGCCAGAGTGCTCAAACTAGAGTAAACCAGCGAGCATGCGCAATTGCAACGGCAATGACTCATCCTAGATAGAGTGCTCAATTTGGACATGAAAGCAAAGCTTTGTATGCCAAAGAGCTATATCTAACTGCAGACAGTACTGTTTCGGCCTTCTGGGCCTCATCAGTGCAGTGCTAATGCTAGGATGGGGGAGAACCGAGACGGTCACCCCAAACGACCCAACCTTTGTGGTATCGTCTAAGCCATGCCAGAGTGCTCAAACTAGAGTAAACCAGCGAGCATGCGCAATTGCAACGGCAATGACTCATCCTAGATAGAGTGCTCAATTTGGACATGAAAGCAAAGCTTTGTATGCCAAAGAGCTATATCTATCTATATCTATCTATCTATATCTATCTATCTATATGCCAAAGAGCTTATAATGCGAGAGTGAGGTTATTCGGTCATTTATTCGCTACTCTGAGTTTCATGCTTGATGAGTCGCCTGATGATTGCTTCGCATTGCACTATAATTATTGCTCTAATTTTACTATTGAGCACTTTTAAGTCAATGAGGATCTCAACCCATTTCTATGATTTTCGCTTCCTTTTTGATAATGGCATCTGTAAGATAAGATTAAAATTTATTACTGTTCGCTCTGCATAATCATAAGCGCAAGGCATTCTGGTTCACAAGTGCGCGCGCTGTCATGGTTATCATGTGTAGTAAGTAACGAAAAAAAAATAGCTGTTAAAAAAGAGCTGTCACTGTAAAAAGAAACCAAGGGCGCTAAAGAGCAGACAGGAGAAAATCGCTGCTCACCAAACATTGTTTTTCTAATGCTTTAGCCATTTGACATTTCTTTAAAATTTAATGTCGTCGTAGAGATTCCCGAGTTCTTGTCAGAGGAAGAGTGCGATCACATCATATCATTAGCCATGGAAATTGGACTTCAAACAAGTACCTCAGGATATTTTACCTACGATGGAGACTTGGACGAGGAATTAGCGATAGCTGGTGAGCTGGATCTAAAATAATAAAATAATGGAAAGTGACAAAAAAAAAACTCAATCAATTAATTTTTTTCATGAATTCAAAGAAAGCAAATAAATATGGAAACGTGCATGGTAAGTCGCAACAGGGGCACGTAAGTCAGCTCTTGAGCCTGCTACATGTGAACAAGGCAAGGAAATTACATTGAGCCCTTCTTTATCGGGACAAGAATTATTTTTTCGTGCGTGCTTCACCTGAATTCCAGCTTATTTCAGAATCTGGTCATCACAATTGATTATTGAAGAGGTTTAAAATCCATTATGAATTGAATATATATTATGATATTGAGCACACTACACCAATATGACAGCGGATAACATCTCTCTTACCGATATCTCGTCTTAGACAGTGACTGGACTCTTGCGCCTGAGTATACATTCGCTGGGAACTACAGTCTTTGGGACGTAAACGGAGATGGTTTGATTGATGCACAAGAGGTACTGTGTTTGAGAAAACACTTGTGTGATTAGGTGAAATGATCGTGCAAGGAAGTCTCATGATTGTTTACCAAAAAAAAATCTTTTTTCAATGTTTAAGGTGAAGGCATTTGCTGGAAAGCACAAACAACTCTATCTAGATGATGAAGAAGTGCAAGAAATGTAAGAACATTAATTTTAACTTCGAATTTTCTTTTCTTTTGATTTAAAAGAGTTCGTAAAGATGAAATAAACAATTTTTAACAGAAGAGAAAAATCGAGTTTCCAGATGGGATTTGAACCCACGACCCTCCGTGATCTAGTCGGATGCTCTAACCACTGAGCTACAGGAGACTCGATGGTGAGCAAGGGTCAATTAGTGGGTACCCACTAATTGACCGTTGTCAATTAGTGGGTAGAGCATCCGACTAGATCACGGAGGGTCGTGGGTTCAAATCCCATCTGGAAACTCGATTTTTCTCTTAAAAGAGTTTCTCGCAATAATTTTGATTCATTTATGTAACGCGGTAAGGAATGACTATTTTTCAACAATCGAAGAGGAAATTTAAAGTTAAGTTCAGGTAAGTAGTACTTACTGAGCAAGGATGATATAGATTATAAAAGACGAACTTGAAAAATTGGGCTTGTTGTTCGCATTTGTCGGTTTTCTTCCCCCGTAAGCCCGGACTCAATAATCCAAATTCCTAGTAGACAGTAACCTGAACAGGGAACCTCCTTGCCAAAGAAACAGTGCCAACATGTGGTTCAATATCATTTAATTAAATGCCATTCATTTTGAAGGTATGCGAGTTTATTTTGATTCTACCAATTTTCTTGCAAATACGAGGGTCAAAGAGAAAAGAAGAATCAAAGCTACCTTCAACCAGACCACTATCATACTAAATAAACGACTTTTTATCTTTTAGGACTCAACGCCTTCAAATCAGTAATGAGCTTAGTGATGGTAGGTAAAGAAATAAAGATATATGCACATGGACCTTAACGATGCCATTTTGTTTGGAAAGGGTTTAACTTGTAAGGTCTATTATAATAGAGATCGGATATAACGCGCGCAGTCATTGTTTAAAAGGGCGTGTTCTATCAGGGTACAGAGAAAGGAGCTGAGCTAAAGCTGTCACGCCATCTGCCAAATTGTTTTATGTCTAGCTATTTTTTGGTAATTGAAAGTGAAATTTGGAACAAGCGAGCCGGCAAGTAGCAGCAGAAGAACCAAACAAAGGTTTGTATAAAATGCCAAGCGCCGTAATTTGCGTTATATTAGGGTGTGCAAAGATGTGGGGAGAAACACTCGACTACACTTCGTGTTTCTCCCTACACTTCTTTCAAGCTTTATCCGCTTCCTGCGTGTTTTACAACATAAGGCATATTTGTTAAGAGAGAGATGTTTTTCGTCTTGTCACAAGCGGGAAGCAAAGAAGATATTTTGAGACCCCATGAGAAATCGAACCTCAAACTTTCAGATTCCGAGTCTCGATGTGCTACTACTGAGCCACAGAGACTATATACTGAGTGTGCAAGGCCCATTACCAAGGTCATATATGACAAGCGTCCTGCATACTGCTAGGATCGGCAATGTTGATAGCGTCATGTTTTTTAAAATAGAATAAGAAAGATGGTAAGTTTTAAGCTCGGTAAAAGAAATAGAAAGAGATGCTTTTCGTCTTACAATGTCTTGTCACTCAAAAATGTGGATAGCTACCACACGAAACCAATTAAATAACTGAATTTTTGTAAATTTCAGGGAGAATAACAGAGGAATTTTTCAACAAGTTGAACATCAATAAGATAATGCGGTACATGGAGTTTTTGAAAGACAAGAGTCCACGTCATAGGTTTCGTTTTAGCCAGCAGGCCTGGTTACGGCAGGACAAAGCCGCTGACCCCGTTCTGAGACGTCTTCATGAGAGGTATCACGGTTACATTTGAATTATTGACTAATTAAGGCCGGGATGTTGCTAATTTTTGATATGGTGAGATTCTACATTTGAGGTTTTCACGATTAAAGTCAAGAATAAGTTCTAAAGTTGAGTTTTGCGAAGTTTTAATTGGCGTATTAAAGTATTTGTATTGTTATCAGGGTTATAAGGTTAACCAAGCTTCCAAGGAAAATAGTTCAAGGGGGCGAGCCTATGCAGGTAGATAATCATTCTGTGCTGGTCTAATTAAATGCTGTTTGTTGGATCTTAGGAGAGTAAGACCACTTATAACCACAGTAAGTTTGATAGTAAAAGCCATGGACTTCCGTATTACGTTTAGCATGAAAAATGAAGACCATGCAGCCCTCACGAATAAGAGTAAAATTTTAATTTTTAAAAAATACATTAAATAAAAATAACAACAACAATTTCCCACGCCGGGAATCGAACCCGGGCCGCAGCGGTGAGAGCGCCGAATCCTAACCACTAGACCACGTGGGAACTCGCTCTTTTACCTTCAATGATTGCCACTACCAGAAACTGTGCTGGTGTAACTGCCCTTTGGTTGATGTCAACAAGACTGAGACCATTTCAACCACTTTAAAATCGGACAGTAAACGCGATGAATTTCCGAACAGCGTGGGAAAGGAAAAATGACCACTATGCGGACTGAAAGAAAAAAATATCAATAATTGAATGAAATGAGTTATTATAAGCTATAACAAAGAACGATGATAATAATGATTTTCTAAAATATATCTCACACGTTACTTGTTGGTAAAGACTAACTAACACGCGTGACGGCAGTGGTGAAAAAGCCATTTAGTTTGCTGCTCAGTAAACAACCACTCGACCACGTGGTACCATTTCGCAGTATTGTGAATCATGAGCACTTTTGTTATTTGTCAATTTTCAGGTTCTCCGGTATAAGAAGTTTGGCCATTATCACGGTCACCTTGATTCCACCATAAAAGACCCCACAGTACCTTGCTGTCACCAAAATCACCTCAGTGCACCTGACTGTAGAGTGTGTAGGTATGCTGTTCACTCCATGGGTTACCCAAGAAAGCCATGTGAAAAAATGGCGACGAATGAATGAAAAAAAAAAGGAATAACGACTGGAGAGAGAGGGAACGAGCGAGTGACTTAGTGAGTAAGTAGTCAGTGAGTCAGTGATTCAGTGAGTCAGTGAGTCAGTGAGTCAGTGAGTCAGTGAGTCAGTGAGTCAGTGAGTAAGTGAGTCAGTGAGTCAGTGAGTCAGTGAGTCAGTGAGTCAGTCAGTCAGCCAGTCAGTTCCCCAGTCAGTTAGCCAATCAGTCACCACTCGGTCAGTAAATCAGTTAGCCAATCAGATAGCCTTGAGGTGCCGGTGAGACACTCAACCAATTAGTCAGACAGTCAGTCGCCATTAACTCAATCAGTCAGTCAGCCAGTCAGTCAACAAGTCAGTCAGCCAGTCAGGTACCAGTGAAAGACCC